TAATAATAATGATAATGATAATGATAATGACAATGATAATGATAATGATAATGATAATAATATGCACACACATACATGAAATATTTCTATGCAGAGAGATTTTGAAAGCATAATGGCTATCCAGTTCTAAGACAACTCCTTTCATAGAAGAATAAAACAGAAGAATGTATCTATAGCTATATAATAAAATATTTTATTATGCACCTCTCTGGTTGATTTGGCAGTGTTCTGGAAGCAAAGAGCAGGTGGAAGAAGGATATATTCCTCCCTCAGGTTATTCTTGGGAGTCAAGTGAGAGAAATAAAACCACTTAAAAACAAAAACAAGCAAGCACAGTTTCTAGGGACTTGACTCCTTAAGGGTTTAAGTTTCAATTACTCCCAAACGCCCGCAAGTGCTTCTGTCTCTGTCTTCTTTCTTTGCCTGCTCCCCTCTGTCCCTCCCTCTCTCGGCAAAGTTGGCTGAATCTAGTGAGAGCTCATTTGCATACAGATCAACAACAGCCTGGCCCACAGGCAACAGAAATAGAACAATGGCTAGCCTGAGCCAAAAATAGGTCAAGCATGGCCGGATGATTGGAGCCTGCCTGAATGTATTTAAAAATACCTCAGCTAACCCAGCTGGCCAGCCTCTGTCTTTCAAAGCGGCAGGTCTCCAGTGTGATCTCTCTCAGAAGCAATTACCTTATCCCAGTGCCAAACCTGTGCCTGTGTGTATGTGTTTGTGTTTATTTGTATACGGGTGTGTTTTCGTTACTATGCCTGTATGTGATGGAGAAAGATCAGCATTTTAGTCATGTTTGATGCTCTTGTTCTTTCTGTCTCATCCTTTTTTGAGTGGACTATGACAAGATAGCAGAAGGGGAACAGATCTGTATTCACTCTTTTAAAAAAGAAACAGTGGAAGCTTCTACTCATGATGTGACTTCTGCTTCACCCACAAGGAGCAAACCTGGGCGATCTATTTTTGTTGCCTGTTTCTCTGGCTACGCTGTGCAGATAGCTGACCAGAGCACTGGGGAACTGATGCTGGCGTTAGGTCACAGGATGTATAGGAAACTGGGATGGGCTTGGAGGGAAGCACCACTCCCAGGAAGGAAAAACTCTTCCGAAAAGGATTTGCACTTTAATTTCGAAGCAGATTGTTCCCTTGTATGTCAGTTTTTCTCCCTAGTATAATGTCTGAAATGCAGTGAGCTACAGTATTCATTCCTTAAGAGGGGAAGTGAACTAAAAAAATGTATACTGCAGAGGGCTCTAAACATTAAAAAAAGTGTTGACTTAAAATAGCTACTCCAATTCTTGCACAGAAATCTTTAAAGGTGTATGCACTTGCATGCCTGGTATTACTAACGCTATTTTTGAAAGCCATTCATTAATTGTTTATGTTGTAAGTGGTTACTCAAAAACTAAATGGGATCCAGGATGCAAACATAAATTGCAGTACAAAACCAAGAATTTATTATCATGCATATCATTCACAAGAAAAAACATGAAGTCAAACCAGGATGAAACAAAATGCAGTTCACTATTCATTCAAAATTTTGAAATGAGCTTCCAATGCGGAGTCAAGGTTTTTGTATCTTTATCTGCCCATGTACTGTACAGTATATAACTTCCAGTATTTCCACAGACATGTTAATTTCTCAGGCAAATCCTTGCAAGGATCTCCCTAATAGTTCAGAGACATGAAAATAGTACTCCCCAAAGGCACTCAGCTGAGCTACAAACCCATGAAATGCAGGACCTATATTACAAGACAACTCATTTTGTTTCTTTATGTGATAAATCAGACGTAGGGTGTCACTACACAATGAGAAATACGTGAATGGATTCGCTGAGAAGCACCCGGGAAGTTGGGTTTCCCAGGTTAATTCACTTCAGCTGACCACACAGGAGTCAGTAGAGGGAGGCGAGGAATTTAGCAATCTGACTTATTTGCTGCTTGTTAAGGTAGCTGTTCTGTAATCATCCAGGTTAGTGGAAGGCATTCTACAGTAGCGGTACCTTAACAAGCTGCAAAAAAATGCTAATTAGAAATTTCCTCCTAGCTCACTGTTGACTCCACACTCTTTTTTCCTCATAACCGGCTCTAGAAAAACCAGCTCTATGGCTCCTCTCTTACTGGTGAGCAAGTCTACTTAAATCAATTAGAATTCCCTTTGAGTGGACCGGATTTCCTGAGTTTTGGGATACAGTTCCTCCTCAAATGCAAGTGGCACTTTTCTACAAGGATTCTGAGCTAGTCACTCAGAAGGAAGCCCATTAATTTCAGTTATATTATTTCTCAGTTTATGGTGCCTGTGACTGCAGCTGTGAATACTCATCCATTTTGGTGGGAAAGACTTAATCATATAGGGGTGGATCTGTCCTTAAAGGAGATCTGTAGAAATCTGCTAATTTTCTCTCCCCCCCCTTCTTGTAGCTGCTCTAGCACACCAACACTTGTCCTAAGCCTTTCTTAACAAATGTTTTGGATAAAAGGGATACACAATTGAGGAGAACTGACATCCCCACAAGTGCCCCTTTGGTTCCTCTCTCCCTAATTCAAACAAAGCAGCTGGGAAAACCAGCTTCTGGTTTCTCATTCAGCCTTGAAGTTGCATTGGCTCAAGCAATCTCACCATCTGAACCAATGCAAATTCATGTAATCTGAAAACAAATAGAAGCCCAGGCTGGAGAGAAAAAAAGATGGATTGAAAAACCCAATTAAATTATCAAAACTCACATTAACTTCTTAAAACTCTCATTAACTTCTGCATAATGTAGTCAACAGAAAATAATATGAATCAGTCCATCCCAACCACAAAGCATTTTCACATTTATTTGTCAATGTAGCCGTGCCCTTTATAAAGGAAGCATTGAGGATCCAAAGACGAATAAATAAAGCAAGCTAATTTGCAAATTACATGAAGTGGGGTCCAAAGCTAATTTGCAAATTACATGAAGTGGGGGGGTGGGAATCGCCTCTGAGATAGTAATGCACAATTTAAGGAATTTTCATTTCTAATAACAGGTTATATGAAATGTGTAGTTTGACTACCAGATAGGTGTCCATTACACTGACATTCTGGAAGATATTAATAAGATAATAAACAGAAACACTGCCTGTGATCTTGCCTAGACACTGCAAAATACCCTTCTTGGGGCCCTGCGGAGCAGGTGAAATGATCCACTCAAGCAACCAAAAGTTTACCCACTGAAATGCAACACTGCATCTGCTCCATGTTTTCCTCCTAAACCATTTTGCCAGGGATAATTACAATGTTAGAAGATTAGCTAGATAAGTGAGCTTCATTTATGATTTGGGGGGGGGGAGGCAGTGTGTGGCCTTCCAGATGTTGTTGCAAACCTCACAATTCCTAGCCAGCATAGCCAATGGTGAGGAATGCTTGGAGTTGCTTCCAGCAACATCTAGAGGACCACACGTTGCCCGCACCTGTTTTATGATATGGTCAGAAAACACTTCAATCTTTTTGCTCTTTTTAGCCACAGAAGTTTCATTTGTTTGTTTGTTTGTTTACCTTTCCTTCCATAGTGGACCCAAGACATTTCACAACCATAATCTATACAATAATCACAGATTTAAAAACACAATTAAAAACACTATAGTAAAATATTTAAATATTTATCAGTATTAAAGCCCTAACCAGCACAGTCAGTGGAAGGGAATCCTGGGAACCGCAGTTCAAAAACATCTGGCTGCATTTTGTATACCTGCTCATCAAGTTTTCTTGATTCTACGGCATAGTTTTATAAATAATATAAATAATATAGAAAACAACTTTCCATGGTGGCAACACAAGAGACCTGGTCACTGAATTAATAAACTTTTTCCAAATATGGCCTGAGCAGCAACATTATTTAACATTAATTAGTGGGGCAGATGTCTATAAATAAAACTCACTTATTTATTGTTTTCCTCCAGTGCATGGCAGATTACAAATCAATACAAAGCAGAGGAAAGTGACGATATGATATGGATCATTCTTTCTAGTGACGTCAAGACATTCTGAAATGTCACTGTGTCCTCTGAGTGGATGTGTGCTATACGTAATCACTGTATTCCTTTGTAGGACACAGGAAAATTACAGACTTCAGTTATACACAATGGGCACAATTCAATGGAAACTTCTGCAACATTCTGTTGAAAGAAATCTAAATACAGCAGTGCTGTTACGTGGCTCATTTCCATTTCACTTGGCCTTGCACACAAGACTTTTTCAATGGATTACATATCTGGATTTGTAGGAAATGCAAATTAGTTGGTTGGTTGGTTTGGGCACCTCTAGTTGTGTCAGTTTTGCTATTTGCCTTTCTATTAAAAATTTCTAAGATATAAGGCAGCCAATAATAACAACACTAACTCTCTTCCTCATCCTCCCACTCTGACCCATCCCACTCAGAAGCAGGACATCATTACAGCTAGGCTGATTTTACATATGGCAGCTGTAATTAGTAATGTGTTGCATCCAAGCTAGTTTCTTGGGGCTTTAGTAACAAATTATTCTCCATTCTGCACATTCCCCTGCTCTAATTATTTTACCTTCAGTGATCAGTTGTACCAATCTGTATCTTTCACTTTTCATTACATGAGAATGGGGGTGGGGGTGGGTCTAGCTTTTTGTATTTTATGGCTAGAAGCCAACTGAATATTTATGCCAGCACAAGTCCAGCCTCATACATTTCAGCAGAAAATTGCTGCTCGTTAAGAAATCTGCACCTCTATTTCTTGCTACATGGCAAGTCACACATGTGTGACAAGAAATACAGACACTG